CAAGCTGATCTTGTCTTTTTTTCTCAAATCTCTAATGTTCATTTATTTTTCAGTTTTGGGTATAACATGTTGTCTTTAAGAAACATATGACTATTTAACTTGAAAGACAAAATTTAGCTATGTTTTATACTATTTCTAAACTTTTTGAAGGTTTCATTTATAGAAATACAGAAACAATATTGACTTTAAAGTGGTAGATTTTGCGCAAGTCTTTGGACCTTCAATATCACGGGTGTCAAACTCGCAGCATCACGTTGCCATCACATGATGTTTCGTGATGTTTTTCCCATTTGCGGAGCTGGGGTGGGCGTGGCCTGCGTGTGATGCATCTGGCCCATGGGCCGCCAGTTTTACACCACTGTTCTATATGTTTAACTTCCAAATAACCTATCATTATGCAATGAGACAAATGTTGAATTCTACCAGTATTTAATACTCTGGATATAGAAATGAATAGATAGAAGAAACCCTGGGGAAAGAATGAGTAGATGTCACTGTATCTTCTGCTCTAATAACACATAAATACTTGTTCTCCAGGGTACATTCTCCTTATTTTACTGTTTGTTCCAAAATACTGTAACTTTAAATAAAAATATCCCTTACTGTTCTACATTTGAAGAGTTTGCCCTTACATGAAATTGTTTATTTTCATGCCCTTTCACAACATAAAATTTCTTCCAAGTCACATCTGACTCCTGGTAATTTTAAGGATGTGTCTATTAGGGCTTTGACAATAATCAAAACTTCATAAAAGATACTTCCAGTGACATTTTCTCTATCTTGAATTAATCTACAAAATTCAAATTTTGGTATTTAATCTGCAAATGCATATACTAACTAGTATGTTATGTTTATCCTACCTAACACATTTTACATTGCTTTCATTGTTCAGACAATGAGAAAACATTTTGTTTCTAAATATATAATAATGACCTTGTAATACAAAAAATATTTTTTTAGTAATTTAATCTTCTAATTAAGGTTTCAGTGGAATCTATCTAGAATGCTTTATTCATTCATTTTTTATGTTGGGCCTTTCGTCTCTTTCCTATTAAAAGAAAACATGTTATTCATTAGATATTTCAGCCACGTTTTAGGACTTCCTCATCTATAGTTTAAATAAATTTTCATCCTGATTTTATTTTTTATTAAATTGATAAAACAACAAAAATGCAAAAATAAGAAAAGGGAAAGAAATATACACTGATAAAGAAAACATTACAGAGAAAATTTGAAAGGAAATATGATTATAGAATGAAAATGAAAATAGATTATATAAAAAATAAGAAAAAACATTCTAATAGCCATTCTCCTCCCACCCCCTGCCCCCCTCCCCCATTTTTCCTAATTGCTAATTGCTACTTAAATATTTTTATACCATAGTTTGTGTGATTGTTGCTCATTTTTATTGTGGATTGTTTTAATTATTTTAAACAGCTTCTCTTTTTTCCTCAGAAGCCATATTTCTATATCTTAGTTTGCCTTCTTGAGTAATACGTTTTATATAAAGGAACAATTTCTGCTTAAATTTGATATCTCCTTTGATCTTAATGAATTCATCAGTAAGTTCATATTGCTTTCTTTGATTTACCATTATCTTTTTCACAATGCTTTGACTTCTTATTAATCAAGTCTACAGGCCTGGGATTCGAAGTAATAACCAGATCCAACTCTGTTTAGCTTTCTGAGATTAGCCAATGCTGGCTAGATGCTGCCATCTAGCTGGGCCATCCACAGTATGTATTGATGTGGTTTACATATGACTAATTCTAAGAAATTTTGTTTATCATAATTGCTTGGTTATTATTGTCAATTGTAGAACACATGTATCACTTCAAAGGAAACCAGAGTGACTTATATTCCCAATATATGGGGTTAGAACAATAAATCAAAATAAATAAATAAAATGGGTCAAATTAGCAAAAGCAAGAATTTTTGACATTAAACATAAAAAGAAAAAGTAATCATCAAAAACCCTTCAAAAAGTGATACCCTAGATTCATATATAAAGTCAAAAAATTATATTACTTCAATTAAGTATTTTACTTCCTTCCTCTGCGGGCGCTCTTAGCCAGTGTTGATAGGAGGGGAGAGATCCAGTCCTTGTCCACTGCTTTTCGGGGTTCCACAGGGCTCAGTACTCTCTCCGCTCCTGTTCAACATTTATATGAAGCCGCTGGGTGAGATTATCCATCACCATGGGCTGAGGTATGACCAATATGCTGATGATATTCAACTGTATGTCTCGATCCGTGGTGAGTTAAGTGATGCCATGTCCTTCCCCTCGTAGTGCCTAGAGGCTGTTAGAGCTGGATGGGGAGCAACAGGTTATAAACCCCTGCAAGACCGAGTGGCTATGGGTTTGGGGTTTGTTGGCTCCGGGAGAATTGCCACTTTTGGTCTTGGATGGGGTGGCACTACCCCAAACAGACCTTGTGCGTAATCTAGGGATTCTCCTGGGCCTGCGACTCCTGCTCAAAGAGAAGGTGGCGGTCGTGGCCAAGAGGGCCATTTCCCTACTGTGGGTTGTGCGCCAGTTATGCCCTTTCCTGGAACAACGGTCCCTACTCCCAGTCACTCATGCCCTAGTTACTTTCCGTCTTGACTATTGGAACACACTCTACATGGGGCTGCCCTTGAAGAGCATCCGGAAGCTCCAATTGGTGCAAAATGCAGCAGCCCGCATGGTTTTGGGCAGACCTCGGTGTGCACATGTATCACTTCTCCTGTAAGAGCTACATTCGTTGCTGATTTGCTTCTGGGTGCAATTCAAGATGCTGGTTGTCACCTTTAAAGCCTTCATGGCTTGGGACCAGGTTATCTGAGGGACCATCTCTTGCTGGTCACATCTACCCGACCCATCAGAGCGTGGAGGCAGGGAATGTTGTGGGCCCCATCCCCAAGGGAGATACAGCTGGTGGGAGCCAGAAGAAGGGCATTCTCCGTGGTGTCTCCCTCTCCCTGGAACATAATTCCCCCAGAGATTAGAACGGCCCCCACTCTAATACTCTTCTGGAAGGTGCTGAAGACCTGGTTCTGCCAGCGGGCCTGGGGAACCCAGAGCGGGATGGAGCCCATTAAATGGCTCGTGTGATCTGTCACCGGAGTGGGAGGTGATTTTATTATATTGTACTATATTAGTTTATTTTATTCTTTTTGTTAGTTTTGTTGTTTTAAATGTGGTTTTATATTCTGTAAGCCGCCTTGAGTCTCAGTGGGCAAATAGGCAGCAATATAAATTCTATAAATAAATAAGTAGTAAGCAATTTACAATGTTGGTATCACAAGCAAAACAACTTCACTCCTTTTGAAGATCTCCCTAAGTGAGTCAGTAAAAAGAATTTGGGGCAAAACATAATGCTGAATGAAATAATTGAGTAGTATGAATATATGTGGGATAAATTATCCTTGCCGTCTTTAATTATACATTTAAATTGGACTAGAAACTAAAATGGAAACTAGTACAGATCAAATAACAGTGTGATGTTTCAGGGTGCCGTCTTCAGAGAATAGCTGGCTTTCAACCAATAGAATTTTTGTTGTTTGGCTTCTTTTAGTAATTTAGTCTGGAAAAGGCAATTGACAGTATTTGGCTTTAACATGCCACAGTTAATAAAAATACATTTCATTTAGTTGACACCATCTGTGAATCTATTACAGAATGCTCTCAGACTATGAATGAATATAATTTGCCCTTGCCCTTAAATGGCAACTGTCCAGTAAAATAAAACTTTATTGTACTGTATTTATTTTTCCACACATCCAGACTTCCACACCACTCTCAGACATTAGATCAAAGTTCCAACTGCTTCCCTCAAAAAGAACAAAAGGGAGACTAGAGTATAATGCTTTTATTGGGAGACAGACCCCTTGAACCACATCTGAACAAATATGGCTAGAATTCATTTGCTCAGGTATAATTAAAACAGATGATTCAGATATTTAAATTCAATATAATTTAAAATTCCAAAAATTATGAAAATAAAGCTCCTTTGTACCTTGGCATATAATATCTGAAGCTACCTTATGATGGAATGCTTAGATCTTTTATGTCTTCCCCATGTAATTTTGTCAGACAAAATGCTACAGGCAGTAACTGGAAAAACAGATATTTCTATGCATTAACTTAGTATTTAAAAGTTAATCCATCCTATTAATTGAAGTGATTTGTAATTCCAGCACGCTGGATAGTCACACAGAGTTTAAGAATTTTTAGTAGGAAAATGCCAGATGCAATGTTTTGAAATACGTTGATTTATATATTTGCTCATTCTTATTGTTATATTTGACTTGAAGACATATGAATGTTGTTAAATATATAAGTCAATTATTTCATTAAAAGGATATTAAAATATTTTGATGAAAAAAAATAAAATCTACAGTCAGTTCCTGTAGGTTTCTTAAAATTATAATTTCTTTATTTACAGTTACTAACTAGAAGTTTCCCACCATAAAGAATGTTATGAAAATATAGTATGTTACATTTCTCATTTGTTTTAACAGAGTTTCTACATGTAAAGTCAGTTATGGAAAAGAGAAAATCAATTGTCATATTATCCATGATATATTTTAATTTAAAGTCACATAAGATTTTGTGTATGACTGTGTGCGTGTGCATATTGCCTGAAGAGAAGGGCTAATTTTCATTGTAAACAGTAAGGGATAATACTAAGGGATTTTAAAAAATCCATGGATATATGCAAGAATGGAATACGTATGATTTTTTTAAAAAAAATTTGCAAAGCAGGGAGAAGTAGAGACACAATAGATCTGAATATATGTTGATATATATATATATATTAAACCTTTTTAATGGAATGAAATCCAGCTGCTTAGTTAAGGTCTAAGGTTATAATAACTTACTTTGGGTAGCTATTACCCGGTTGATTCAGATACGATATAAATCTTTAAAAAACAAGGAAACGTTCGCGTTTTGATCCATGTCTAAATTAAGATCAATTATTCATATATGATTAAGTAACTATTATTTCCAAACGTACCTGTTAGGCCAGTTTTCCTTGTTGAAAATCTATATAGCCGTAGTTCCTGTTATTAAACGTGCCTCGCTGGTTTGAATAGTGTACTACAGTATTCTCCCAGACTGCCTCTGTTCAAAAGAGCTCATTCGCATAAAACTTCAACCCCCACAATTCCACTCGCGCGCATGCGCCTTAAGCTTACAGTTGTCAAAGTGCTCTTGCCAGAGCAATTTCTATTTATCATATACCAAACCCGAAAGAAGGAAATAGACATACTGTCCCTACCTTTCATTGCTCTTTAAATACAGAACACTCAAAAGGTAAATGTTCTGGGCATCTTGCCTTGACTGTGTGGGTTACTGCATGCAAATGAAGTACGAAGGGGATATTTTTTCTGTAGTATACTTTGGATTGACACAAATATATTCAGTGGGAGAAAAAGGGGTGGAGAAATCAGGGGACTCTGGATATTAACCTACAAGTAGGTATTTGGCTACCTTTTTTTTTTAGAGCAACGTCCTTTTTTTCTGGTTCAGATTGTCTACATTCACTAAAAATGGATTTTGACCTTGAGAGAGAAAGGTGTGATTTTTAGTGAAATCTTAAGTGTAATATGAAGTTCTTAGTGGTATTTAAATCAGTTGTTATAATATAGCTTATCTACATTGAAAGACATAGTTTTAATAATATCCTTATTTATAGAAATGTTTTCATAAATAGGCATTTTAAAACCAGATGCAGAGTAATATCCCTGATTTTTTTCCTTTTGCATGAAATATTCTGTGTGTATATTGTCTACACTACTGCTTTGATTAATTTGATCGGAGTGCAGCTAATAGAAAACTACACAAAGGCTTTGATATTATGGCTTGCTGCAGTGCTGCTTTAAAGGTTTGTCTGCACCCCCTACAGCAGCGTCAGAACTGCGTGCAAAGATGCGCTAGTTTACTCCTTTTGGGGATTCTGAATTTAGCTTAGAAGACTCTATATATGCACCCTCTGCAACACGTTATTTTTAGCTCGTGTGTAGATCAGTAGTGAAGAAAATTATTTCTGTGAACTATCCTGCTGTGGATGAATATCCGTACAATATATGCTGCTGGCTGTTCTTACTTGATTGACTAACTATCTGTTTGAAGAGGAATGATAAATTTATGAATCCCTGGAATAGGAGAGACGTGTGAAAGAAAATTACTATGTTCATAATTCTCTTAAGTCCTCTAAGCAGCTGCTGTTATGACGCCTTGATTACTTCTACCTATGCAGTTAAATTGCAAGAAAAAACGAGTGATTTCAACACCGGGTGAAGGGGTGGGGGAGGGGGAAAGGGAAGGGAAGAAAGCCACGACACAGCGTTAGATTTTGAATGTTGTACTACTAACTAAATCAGCTTATAAAGTTCAGTATGTTACATGGATGGCTGCCTTTACTCTATTTTACTTTTTCTCATAGCTTTCTTATAAAAAAAGCTAATGAATGTTCTTGCAATTATTTGTGTATTTATTACATTTTCAACTGTCCAGTAATAAAAGATTTTTGGAAGGATATTAACATGAATGAAAGTAATGATACTTAAATATTTCTGAAAGTCTAGTTATTTACAATGGACAGTATTTTAAGTAATGTATGCATACTCTAATTCTGCAATTTGCCTTTGGAAAATTGTTACAGCTGTTGAATACTTTTATCAATTTTGAGGGTTTCAGTATTTGAGTATTTTTAAGCCAAAATAAATTATTTTTAAAGAAGGGTTAATCTACGAAGGCATTCATATTATAAAGGAGTGTAACTGAATTCAGTTAACTTTACTCTCAACCACAACGCTGAATTCTTTAAAATATACGAATGGGTTACGTTGTGTTGTATTTAACGTGCTTGAAAGGAATACAGAAGCAAGTCGGAAGCAAACCAGTTATTAAGCCGGTTTTATCCAAAATGGTTGTTAAAGCGAGCCAAACTGAATATTTTGTTATGTAGGGTACTTTCCTTCTCTCCTCTCGTCTCGTCTTGAGCGTCTACGCTTATTCTAGACTTGAGCTCGGGGAACTGTTTCGAATTAGTTGGCTGAACCTTTTTGTTGATTAATCAAAATGGGTATTCGGCTCCTTTAAAAGTCTATTCATAGGAAAGGGGTGGAGAAGAGTAAAGGCTGCTGTCTTTTTAACCTTGCTGAAGGACGCAGCAGTATTTATTGACGTATGCAAATAACAGGGGAGGAGGGTGTACGGAAAAACAGGAACCAGAATCAGTTTCTCATTGCAGGGCGAGAGCTCTGAGTTCCGGTATAAGAGAAAGAGACGTGGCGAAATTGCTGTAAATCTGTGCCCTATAAGCACATTTTTCCTTTGCACTGAAAGGAAGCAAGACATCGAAAAGGGTGAAACCTCTTCAAATGTGTTTTTAGAGGCAATGGGAACCGATCGTGCTGATCCAAACCGTTTACCCCTAAGGGGAGTGGGGGTGGGGATTACGTACTAGTATTGCTGTGTCTTGCAATTTGCGGCGGCATTATACTAGCAGTGGAATTGTAGCGAGCAGTGGAAGGCTAAAGCAGCTTTATGAATGTTAATACTCTATGGTTTTTCCTTTTTTCCTCCTTTCAGCTGCGCAAACCATGCAGGATGATTTACTGATGGACAAAAGCAAAGTCCAGCCTCAGCAGCAGCGGCAAGATCCAAACGCAGCAGAAGCTCCTTCTACACCCATAACGTCAGAGACACCCAAATCGGAGGACAGTCCAGTGACTAGCATCGGCTCAGCAGCTCCTGCCCAAAATAGCAAAGAAAAGATGCAAATGGAGTCTCCCATCTTGCCGGGCTTAAGTTTCCACCAGCCTCAGCAGGAGCCTACAGCCGGCACGTCCTTGTCTCCCTCCTTCGGAAGCACTTGGTCTACAGGGACCACAAACGCAGTGGATGATAGCTTTTTTCAAGGGATTACCCCAGTTAATGGGACAATGCTTTTCCAAAATTTCCCTCATCATGTCAATCCTGTTTTTGGAGGCACTTTCTCCCCCCAGATTGGCCTAGCTCAGACTCAGCACCACCAACAACAGCAGCAGCAGCAGCAACAACAAGCACAGCAGCAGCAAAGGAGGTCACCGGTCAGCCCTAATCAGGCATCTTTTGCCCAGAGAAATGCTGCTTACAGCCATCAGCCCATCATGACCAGCAAACCTTCTTCCTCTTCCACTTCCACCTCTTCTCCTTCCAGCTGGAATAACCATCAGAATGCAGCTTGGAGTACACCTTCCAATCCTTGGGGTGGGCTGCAAGCTGGCAGAGACCCTCGAAGGGCAGTAGGTGTGGGAGTTGGTGTGGGAGTGGGAGTTGGTGTGCCATCCCCACTCAATCCCATTTCACCTCTTAAAAAGCCCTTTTCTACCAATGTTATTGCCCCACCGAAATTTCCTCGGGCTGCTCCTCTAGCTCCAAAATCCTGGATGGAAGACAATGCCTTCAGGACAGACAATGGCAATAATCTATTGCCTTTTCAGGTAAAGTCCTTTCTTGGAGTGCAGAACAGGGTGGGTTGGTTGGGAGAGAGGATGGGCAGAGATATTTTAGCATTTGTCTTATAATTTAATCCTGTAAAATTGAATGTTTTTGTCATTACAGTTTATGCTAGCATTAGGTAGCAGTCTTCCTATAATTAAACCTATGTACTTTGTAGACAGCATTCACATATGTTAGTGATTCAAAAACAAATTAGATTATTTCTAAGCTTCTTGTTTCCGTTTGATTTTGAAAATATTTGCATTTTGGTTCTAGCTCTTTTCCTTAATATTTGCCTCCCATTTTATCCATTTTAACTGAAATGTTATTTAAAAATGGGAAATACAGAGTTTCAAATCTTGTCTAGGTGGTTTCATATTGTAAATTAAATAGTATGACCAAATCCAACAACACTTGAGGAATCTGTTTAATTATCCTTTCCACATTAAAGGGCCAATCCCTTTTGTTAAAACTGCTCTGGCTCACTAATGCTGAGAAATGAGGTTCAACAGGATTGTGTTTGCAAAATTAGGCATATGAATGCAAATAACATGCTGAAATTGCTAAAATGTAATCATGATAATATGTTCAGGGTGTGGATTTAAATAGATTTTAGGAAGAGGCTTGGGTGTGTATTGACCTGAATAGCATTTACTATGAATAAGAACATGTATAATGGCAATACAGAGATTAAGACACATTAAAATATTTGTGTGGAGTAAACAATTTGATTTTTTTCATACTCAATATCTGAGGAAAGATACAATAGGACATGACCTTCACAGCCATATTGCAATGGGGCCTATTTACTAGCTATATAAGCCTTGAAATATTTAAAGCGGCAGTGTCTTACAATGGTTTTGTTATCTAAGAGGTCAAGACAGATCAATTGCAACAACTGAGACTGAGTAAAATTGAAGCTTTGCAATTTTAATGTGGAATGGAACTTTAGTTGGTATTAAATGTTTACTTAAAGCATGTGGGCCAATTATTCAGTTATATCATATCCAAATCAGTTTATTAAGATAAAAGCTTTTCTGTATTCTAATGTATTTTACCCATAAGCTATTATAAGTAAATATGTATTAGATTCTTTGTACAGTGAAATTAATTTTGGTTTTGCACTACGTTTTTCAATACATACAATATAATATAAACTATTATAAAATTACAATGTATTCAGTGGTACAGAATATCAACTTACTAATGCTGTTTCATTTCATTTAGTGACCTGCTGTCTTTAGACTTCCATTTGATACTTCACTCTGTTTGAACAAAATAGTTAATAATTTTTATTGGTTCTGCAGTGGCATATTTCTGCCACTTAGTATTTTAATCTTAAAACTAAAGGATAGATTCAGACTTTTTAAAGTCATGCTATTTTTTAAAATTGTATTCCAATGTGGCATTCTAAAATTCATAATTACAGTAAGGTATTCCTCAATTTACAACCACAATTGAGCCCAAAATTTCTGTTGCTAAGTGACACATTTGTTAAGTGAGTTGCCCTATTTTATGACCCTATCTTCTGGTTGTTAAGCAAATCACTACAGTTAAATTAGTAACTCAGTTAAGTGAATCCGACTTCCCCGTTAACTATGCTTGTGAGAAAATCATATGACCTTGGGACACTGCAACCATCATCAATGAGTCAGTTTGATCCTCAGTTTGTTGAGAATTTTGATCCTGTGACCATGAGGTTGTTGCACTGATCATAAGTGTGAAAAATGGTCATAAGTCACTTTTTTCACTGCCATTGTAACTTTGGTTACTAAACAAACTCTTGTGAGTTGAGGACTACATATATATGCTTCTAAATATGAAGTGATGAAATGATAAAATATATTAATATGTTTTTATATAAATTTTATTAAACATTACCATTAAAAAGATAAAAACTAATAGAAACTAAAAGAATAAAAAGGAAGTGCAGGAAAAATATAGAATAGAAAAATAGAAAAAATATAGTAAGAATATGTATATATAAAGAAATGACTTTCTCTTCATCATAAATATGCACAATTTTTTGTAATTTTTTGTTGCCTCTTAAAATGCAACAAATGTATTTTTCCCTTATGTCCCTTATAATAAACAGATCCTTAAAGCCTCATCTTTCAGTCCTTATTAGCAAAGGTCTATTAAAAATTACCAGAGATAGCAACATATCTATTTCAACCTTGATCAGACAAACCAACTTTATATTCCTTCCTTTTACTTTTAACAATCTCGATCTTTAATCCCTTCAAATAGGATCCTGGAATTTGATTTGTTTTAGTAATTTCTTTGTTTTTACCAAACTCTTCAAAACTTTTAATAAATATCTCTTGCAATCTAATATAGGATAGTTATTCAGGTTATTCCTTTGATTTGTTATTTGTATATTCCTTTTATTTTATTTTGTATATATATATTCCTTTTAATTAAGACATCAATTGGTTTCATTTGTATATCCTGTATAGCATCTTTTTCCATATTATAGGCCGTCATTTTTAAATACACTTTCAAATCAAACTATCTTGTCCAGTAAAACTTGTTCTTCTTTCATATCATCTTTTAAACATTCTATAATGGAGACAGATTTAAAATTAACTACTGGGTCCATTGCTTACAAATATTCTCTAATGTTAAAGTATTCTGCTTCATTCTTTATCAATAATTCACATTTAAGTGTGAATTTTATTGTAATCTTTAGTTCTTTTTGGTTCCTTCTAGTGTCCAGTGTTCATGGTCCCAGTTATTTTTTTTTAAGAATTCAAAGGCAAAGTATTTTCCCATGCAAAGGGTTTTATAATTTCAAAATCTTATTTTAAATCCCTCTAGACCCTTACTCCATTTGTAATTTTCCAAAATTAATATTAGAATTACTCTCTTGCTGTTTATTCCAAAAATGATTTTTTAAAGTCCATAAAGTAACTTCTTTTGCTAAAGCAGACTAAAAAAACCCTTTGTCAATTCAAAAGTTCTTAATATCTGAAGAGTAATTAAAAAGCAATTCCCAATCATGATTAAAAATGGCTCCGATTACAGTTTAGCCTGATTTCCAAACTCACGAGATTCCATTGTCTTCTGGTCTCCTCATGAGGAGCAACTATCTGGAACACGACCCTGAATCTTCTCCCTGTTTAATAATTTTGAAGAGCTGATGTGCTTGCCAGCTCTTCGTTCCACTGCAGTTGTAGATTTTGCTTTGAGCAAAGCCATCTTCAGTTCACCATTTCTTACTCTGAAGACCCAGTCTATGCTTCTAACAGTATACAACATGTCGGCATTTGGAAGCATAAATATTTATGCTAAGATGGATTAAAAGTATTGGTATTCTAAACTGTTGGTATAAGGTGGCGTATAACACTTTCCTGATTAGCATTCCATTCGAGTTCAGTAAAATTAGGACTCAGATTGTTGGAGGCAATATGCTGACTCTGTAAACTGCTTAGAGAGGATAGTAAAGCACTATGAAATGGTGTATAAGTCTGCTATTGCTATAGTTGCTTTGGAATATAAGTCCCAAACTGAAGGAATTTATGATAAAAATGCAAAAACAACCCACACTCCTTTTTTATGAACTATAATGCTACATTTAACTAAAGGTAAACATACTTTTCAGAGATTAAATGTGATCCTCAATTGAACATATATTTGTAATAGAAGGAATGGACACTGTAGGTTTATTATGTAAGATTATTCCCTTTTGCCCTTACTTTGTCCAGCCAAAGAATTATTTTCTTTTAGAGTTGTCTTCTAATGGCAACTGATATTTGTTCTTTTGATATTACTGTAGAAACAAGACCCTTGTGTTTTTGCCAAACCATAATACTTAGATTTTTCAAGATTGGGATATATGTTATCTTCAACACTACATTTCCGTTGAATCTTTTCTTTTATAATTATTTGAAGTAGTTGATATTTCTTGCTTGTTCTAAATGTTCCAATGTTTTTTCACTGACAATTTGGCCGTTCTTTGGAAAACCATTTCATTTTGAACACAAATAGCCAGCTCCACACATAATCTAGTGATCATGAATGTTTTGTATACTGGATATAAATGCAGAGAAGATATACAGCTTCTCTTCATGTATATTGGTTTAGTAGTTGTTTAGTTGTCATTTTTATTTCTCTGAGAATCCAAGGAACCTTGGTTCTGAAATTTGGACATAAGAATGTTTTATCAAAGTACAATTCTCATTTTATTGTTATACGCCCTTACAATTGAAAATTAAGATTTAATAGGATTCCTTGACCTTAGAGGTTTGAGTACCGTTAAGAACATCTAATGTCACAATGATTGTTTTCAGTATATGATCAACATTTTGAAAGAACAATTAAGTAATTTATGGTGCTATCTGGGAATATATAATTTTAACCTAGTATGTTGTATTATAATCATGTTGGAACTATAAATATTTTTATACTTCGTGAAATTATTAGCTAGCTAAAATATAAAGTATACATTTTTACGTAATATAAGATTTGTATTTTTTAAAAGCCACAATTGTCAATATGTGAGAGTATCATATCACATATGCTATTGTTCTGTCATCCAAACTGTTGAAATAAATAAGAGCATGTTATACAAAAAACCCTCTTCCAATAATTCTGGACATTAATTACTTGCTATATTAAATTTAATCAGCACTGCATAATATATGCATGTAGTTCAGTCTTAGAAATAAAGTCACTCTTGTTTACAGAAATACATGAGGGAATAAGTGGCATACTTGAAAAAAGACTTAACCTACTCTGTATATCTATTTATATAATGTCCTTTTAAGTGATAGAATGTACAAAATATTTTAATTTATCAGCTTTAAGCATTAAGAAACCTCTTTTATTCACATTATCTGTTATATAGTTTGTTTCTTCTTTAATATCAAGCTTATTTCTCGTTTTTTCTTGTCTTATTTGATTATGTTTAAGTCCCAGTTTGCTTAATAGTTATTCTGCAAGATAGCATTGTTATATTGTTGCTTATGGAAGATCTTGCTTGACTTATTAGCAGGATATC